CTTGGCCCTTCCAGACTGAGTCAAAGGATGTTCCTCTGAGGATGTGAGACAGCAGGATGTTGGGCAGAGAGCTTTGGATTTACAGTCTCCAGACCGGGATTCAGAACTCCAGGCTGTGTGATCTGTGTGATCTGTGCTATCTAGCACAAGCCACACCAGCCTCTCTTCGCCTATGACCCCATACTCCAAAAGGGGGAGGGGTCATAATATTTGCCTAGAGGAATCAAGTGAAATAGTGAAGATGAAATGCTATGTAAAACTGTCCTTAAATAAGGCCTGATTGTACATGATAGTAAAGGCTGACATGATGGAAGGGGTCCTGGCTTCAAGGCAAGGGGGCAGCACAGGCTGAACTGAGCAGGTAGGAGTGAATGACCTGGGAGGATACAGAGGGCACAGTTTCCTTAAAAAGCACTTTATAAATACTGTCTCATTGGATCTTCACAACAGCCTTGCGAAGTAAATACTATCAGTGTTTTATTTATTATTCGTTTCACAAATAAAGACACAAAGCATGAAAGATATGATTTGCGCAGAGTTATACGGCTAGTAAGTGTATGAGGTAGGATTTGAACTCAGCTCTTCCTAACTCCAACTACAGTGCTCAGCCCACCATGCCATCTAGTGGCCTCTCCTTAGTCAAAGGTGTTTATTCAAGCCAAGTGAACGTAAGACCTGTTTCTACACTTTTTAAAATAAGGAATTGATTTGTCTTCAATTCTGTTTGCTTTGGTTTCACAAAAGCAAGGGGGAAACATGATAGTTGTATTTGAGTATTTGAAGGACTGTCACGAGGAAGAGGGATGAGCTTTGTTGGAAGCACTGGACAGATGCTTCAGGAAGGCTAATGGCACATACACACACACACCCACTCCATCTTCCCTCTATGCATTTTTGCACTGGCCATCCCTCACCTCTGCAACACTGTCCATCCTCATATTTGTCTCTTTGATTCAAGACTGTGTTTAAACCTCACCTTCTGCAAAAGAATTTTCTCAGTCCCCTTCCCCCACCCCCAGCTACTAGGAGCCTCCTAGTAGCCTGAGATGGCCTTCCATCTAATATGCATCTTGTATGGGCCGCATTGCCTACATGCTTCCTTCCCTGCATGAATGTGAACCTCTCATAAGCAGGGACCATGTTCTTTATTTCTTTGCACCCTAGGCATCAGTGTCTGTCATATAGCAAGCACTCAAGGATCCGGATAAGGACTGCCCCTAGGATGTCATCAATCTGAGGAATTCCCAGATGTGGGAACCTCTTCTGCCAGTGCTAGGCCTCATACTCTCAGCAATTTCTAGTCCCAGGGTCTCCTGGCCCACTGAGAACTGAAGGACCTTGCCCAGTATCACAAAGCCAGATTGCGTCAGTGTTCTGACTTGAACCCAAGGTCTGACTGGGCTCTGAGGATAACTCTCTCTCTACTAGAGGGCAGCTGCCTCTCATAGCACTCGGGAAGGACTTCGGGAGTGCTTTGACGGGCTGTCTCCATAAAAACTTTCTAATGTTGGCAGCTGTAGTCATCAGGAAGTTTTTGGTGACACCCAAACTAAGTCTGCCTTCCTAAAACTTCCACATGGCTCACAGGGGACTGGACAGCCTTGGGAGGTGTGAACATCCCCAATGCAACTCTTGAAGTGAAGCCCAGACATTCTTTTGTCGAATTATAAGATTGTGATTGAGTTACAAGAATATAGGATCCTGGGTCTCAAGCTGGAAGGGACCTTAAAGGTCACCTCGTCCAACCCTCTCCTTTTACTAGAGAGGAAGCTGATACCTATTAAACCTAAGTGCCTTCCCCAAGGTCCCAGGGATCGGCCTGGGTTGCACTAGCTGGCCATGGAGGTCTCTTCCAATGGAGATTCTGTAATAAGGGCTGAGTGTCTGAAATGTCAGCTTCCTCACCTGGACAGCCCTAGGGCATTCCTTCCATGCCCTGCTCCTGGGCCCTGTGGGGGCCACCAGGGGCTATTTTTGAAGCTCTCTGCATAGAAGCCAGCCTGTTTAAGGACCAGCCTCCCTCTGACCCTCAACTTGGGTATTTTGGGAGCTGTAGATAAATCATGCCAGGGAAGCTAAACTTAGTACAGAAACCTGCAGAGAATGGGCACCATCCTGGGGCTTTCCTTCCCTGTCTTCCTCCCCACTTCAAAATAGCCCATGACAGAAGAGAGCAGGCAGGCCCAGGAGAAACCCCACCCAATGGGCCACTCCCCAGCCAGACTCCAATAAGATGCAGAGAGGTTTTTGCCAGAGTTTTCCGAAATCAGTCTAATTACCAACCTAATCAGCCTCCAGCAAAAATGAAAAGATGACAAAAAAAAAGTCTGAGAGCTCAAGCTCCCTAAGAGCAGGGCAAGGTTATTAGCATGAGCAGAACAGCCCTGGAATTTTAAAACAGGAAGGTGGGAGGAGCCCATGGTGAGGTGGGTTGGACAGCTTGAGCCTGGGGACTTGAAAGAAGGCTGCCCAGTTAGCTTTTCAGAGACATGTCCTGCAGCCTACTTTTGTTGACATCCTTTATTATGGAGTAGGGGTGACCCTAGGTTCTCAAAAACTACCCCAGAGGAGTCAGGAATCACTCGGTTCAAATCTCACCTCTGATACATCTTACAAACATTGTGTGACATTGAGCTAGTCACTCACTTTTCTAGGGCTGAGTTTCCTCATCCATTAAATGGGGTAATAGAGACATCCACCTTTCCAGTTCGTTGTGAGGCTTATTTAAGATCACCTGTGTAAGTGATTTCAAAGTCACTGATTCCTATGACTTTATTTCATCTTTTTGGAGGGAGTTCAGACTGGAGCAGCCCACTGCCAAAATTCTACTTTGACCACTCCTGGTCCAGTCTCTTGTAACCAGACCCCGATAAAGTTGACCCATCCTCGGACATTCTCTGTTTTGAATCAGAATCTGCTCTATACCTGTTTTCCTCTCCAAGTACAAATCTTTCCTGAGCAAATTTCACAATGGACAGAACCAAAACAAGGATGGGCTCTCCCAGGTGCCCGTGCCCAAGGGAACACTCTTCCTCTCCCCACCCCCTGCCCTGATGGCCTGCTCTCTCACCTGGTTGCCATCGCCAGGGTCCCCTCCCCATCACACCCTTCTCCTGAGATCTTCTATCCAACAGAAGCAGATGGCACCCCTCAGCCTGCCTCAGATGGGGCTTTATGTCATGCAAGAACTCTCAGGATCTAGATGGATCAGCATCAAAGGCTTACAGTTGTCCCTGCCCCCGTGCCCAGGGTAAATTTGGCCTAGACCTCCCTGACTCCTCTCTACTGTGCTTTCTGGAACCTGGCTCTATTGTTACCAAACTCCTCTTGCTCCTAGGTCTCCTCTTCTCAGATTCCTTCCATGTTCTGGTGCTCACTCACTTCCTCCCGAAGATGTCCCACCTCTTGGACCTCTTGCCAAGACTGGCTGAGCCTCCTCTTCTATCCCCTCCCACACAGGGCCGTCATGTCTGACTCTTCATAACCCCATGGACCATGCTGTTCAGGGGGATTTCGTGGCAAAGACACTTGACTGGTTTGCCATTTCCTTCTCTAGTGTATTAAGGCAAACAGGATGAAGTGACTTGCCCAGGGTCACACAGCTAGGAAGTGTCTGAGACCAGATTTGAGCCCAGGTCTTCCTGACTCCAGACCCAGTGCTCTATCCACTGCAGTGCCACCTTGCTGCCTCAGGTCACTTTCCTTCTCCCCAATATATCCAGTCCCTGGCTCGTTGGCTTTTTCAGACGCACAGTAGATAAAGTGCTGGGCCTGGAGTCAGGAAGAGCTGAGTTTGAATGCAGCCTCAAATACTTAGTAGCTGTGTGACCTTGGCAAGGGCCTCAGGTTTCTCATTTATAAAATGGGGTAATAATGGCACCTTTCTCCCAGGGTTGTCATGAGAATCCAATGAAATAGCACAAGTGATATGCTTTGCCAACCTTAAAGCATTATGCAAAAGCTAGTTATTAGGTTTTTTTTCCCAATCCAGGGCCCTTCAAATGCCTCAGGTCCCCAACCTTCTCCATTCCTGTGATCTCTGTCTCCAATCCACCTCAACACTGCACAAGATGGAGGTGACTTTAGATGCCCTGTCACTGAGTTCCACTGAGCTGGCCCCTGGGGTCAGAATTCCTGCTTAAAACCCGGATCATGGAAGATTATTTTTTCCAATTAAAGAAAAAAACTACTGTTGTAGCATGATTTACATTTCCTAAATATTTTGGTCAGGAAGTTGCATGACAATGGACAGAGGGAAAACTTCAGCTTTAGGAAGACCTGGATTCAGGTCCTGCCTATGAATTATCCAAGTTATATGAACCTAGACAAGTCATCCAACATCACTGGGCAGCAGGAAACTCTCAAAGACTAGAGGTTCCCAAGGAGTCAATGACCTGCATTTGGTGGAGGGAGTTTCCATACTGGAAGTTCTTTAAAAAATAGATGAAAGCTCTGGATCCCCACAAAAAAAAAGTTAGCAAAGAAGCACATAATATTATCCTTTCTCCAATTTCAAATCCATCTGGTCTAAAAGGCTTCTATGCTAGGAAGAGGAATGTTGGTTCTTAGATTCGTCTGCTGAATAGCTGAGCTTACCAGGTTTGTAGATTATTTTTATTAATCAATAGATACAGCTGTGTCTAGAATAAGCATGACACATGTCATCTGGAGGTCCTGGCTAACTGTTCCTGCATCTAGAAATTCACATGACCCCAGTCCTATCAGGCCAGCATTCTCCTCCGAGCCCACAGGAGTTATAAATACCCCCTTGATCAGCCCTGGCCAGACTACAATGAAGAGATGACAATAGAAATCACTGCCCCTGTATAAGGTCATCTTTCCCCTCCCAGGGAGGAGGGCTTCTGCTCAAATAAACAGCATGGCCACAGACAGGCTGCCAGAGCCAGGGAGGGCAAAGCTGCAAATCTTTCAGAAGATGGAGAGGGACCCCCCTCAGAGTCCCGCTCCTGCGGACCGGTACCACACAGCCTTGGTCACAG